ATCGTACACGTGCATGGGACAAGAAGCGCACTCTTATGGTAAATGTGGCAACTCTCAACTGCTGTAGGGTCAGTTCTGGAGCATCCGAGGGATTTCTAGAATCGACTAGCGACGAGATTGAGCGGGACATCCGGCTCCTGCAAGAAGTTTTTGGGCAGAAAGTTCCTGTTCACAGTTTTCAACGTGGTCACTACGTTGTGGCGTCTCCTGGAAATCTCCATGTACGTGGCTGTGCAACCCTGGTTCATCGTAGACATGTACACGCCATTCATCAACTGCCAGAGCCTGATCACGCGCGAGTGAAGTGCGCGAGGGTGACGGTTGATGGTGCGAGTTTCTTCTTTGCAGCAACGTATCTTCCACAGGCGCAGTCTGAGGAGGGCTTTTAGTCGGTCACGGTTGACATATCTAGACGAGTGCGTATACACCAACTCCCTGGAGATATTGTGGTATTGGAGTCTGACTTCCATGCTGAAATGGGCTGCTTCAGTCGGAAGTTGAAGCACTCGCGATCGGTGAACATTCACGTGGGGTACGAACTGAGCGAGGTGAGTTGGTCATTCTCCAGGCGCAGCGTATGAGATTTTGTTGCCCGCGCACTTTTAGTAAGGAGGCATGTGTGCCGATGCGGTTCGCGTTAGGTGCTGATGCGCCGTTGGGGGTGGGCAGTTCCATAGGTGGTTTTATGCTGCCGAGTACTTCTGCCTCGCGTGTTCGCGAGGTTCGGGTTGTGGTTGCGGTTAGTGCCATCGCGAACCGCATGATCGCGCTGCTGACCCTGGAGTGTTGCTACGACGCAGTGTGGAGGACCAAGGGGCCGATCGGGTGGAATGTCCAGCATCCAGAAAGGCACGTCGAGATGGTGGCTGGCGAGATACATGATCATACGAGGATGGATGAGTTGTCTCCTACTATTGGTAAGGCGGCCAAGGAGGCAGGCGTACCTCTGCAGCGACGGGCTGCTGCCAAGCTTGATCGACGACAGCTTCGCTATGTTGAGGGTGAGTGGAGGAAAGCTCCCACGCGGGCTCTCAAGGTCGCGGCCGCGCGCCTGGCCTTGGTGGAGCGCCGACGGCAACGTCGTGCACGTATGCAGGCCCTCTCACAGGAGCTGCTTGACGATCGTCGGGGCGGCGGCTGGGGCAGGAGACGAACTGCCACCGCGGGCCGCATGTAGCTATGCGATCCTGAGAGAAACAATGGGCCCATCGCGTCGCCTTCCATCGTTGTGCAGATGGGCCAGGAGTTATATTCAGGGCAATTTTCTTGGGCTCGCCAGCCGGCCCTGAGTGTTCCTGATTGGGTAGATCCCTCCTTCCAGATCGACGACACCTTCGCCATCAATCACATCATCCATCGTATCATGAGTCTTAAACCGCGGAAGTCCTGCTGTTTGGGGGGTATGGTGGTTGGGGAGATGTTGCAGGCGTTAGCCATGCAGGGGGATGGGGCGCCGTCGAACATGCCTAAGATGATCGATTCGGGGGATATGGGGCCTGGGTTTTTTGGGCGTGCCGGGGTGGGTCAATTCGACGGGGCTGGAAGGGGTGCTGCGCGTGCTGGACGTGGGTGTTTATTGTATGATTCTGAAGGGACGGAATTGGTTTCTCTATCTCATCACATACTCCCTTCGGGGCGTCTTCTATAGATGCTGAGTTGCATGGTGCTATTGAATTCCTGTCATTTGCAGTGCCGAAATGAACGGGTTAAATGTGATTTTGCTATCGAGGGAGGTTGTGGTCATGTCATATTGCATGTAACGGAACAGTGGGCTGCTGTTGATTCTAGAACGTGGTATTACAGATCGGTAGTGTCATCTCTAGTAACTGAATTCGGTCGAGTCCGATTTCGTCATGTTCGTCGCTGTTTTAATCGAGATGCTGACAGGCTTGCGAATGCAGGCGTTGACGAATGCCACGTGTGTTCACCCATCACTCTTGGCCTCGCACAAACATGTGCGATCTGCTCTCCTGTGGCTGCGGCGGCGGAGGAGGACTGGCCCGCGAAGCCGATCCAGGCGATGCTGCCCGCCAAGAGCGTTGAGGCCACCAGCCCGATCTGGGCCCTCAAGCAGGCGGTTGACGGGGATCTACGAGGAGTATGTTGTATTATTATGCCGACTCGTCTTGATCTTGATATGGGGCATGGGGCTAGCAGGAAGCGTCGATGTTTATTCGACTAGCCGCGCCGAGAGAAGCACGTGCAGATTGATGGTCGAAGGGCCATTGCTGACTTGGCGCTGGTACCGAAGGGGCTACTTGTTAAGTAGTTTAATGACTTGCGCCCGCTGGCTGTGCGACCCGTTCAACCGAGAGTTGTTGGAACCAGTCGAAGAAAGGGTTGCGGGCCATGCGCCGTGGCAGTGTGCGTATAAGGAGGGGCGCTCAGAGGTGGACATGGACTTAATCATCATGCTAATGGCGCAGAAGAGTATGCGAGGTGGGTTGGGATTTGTATGTGCGTCGGCAGGTGTTCAAAAGGATTTTGGCAATGTTTCGCGCGTTAGACTTCTACAGAGTCTGGGGCGACGAGGAGTGCCGCCGCATATCAGTGCTTGGTTTTTGAGACATATACGACCCATACGGTATAATGTGCATGTGCGTCGGGAATCGGCCACCGCGGTGCATATCGCGCGCGGCGTGCCTCGGGGGTCTGCCTGGGGACCTGCGTTCTTCAAGATAGTGCTCGCCGGCTGTCTACACTGTGTTTGGCAAGAATGCGTGGATGAAGGTCTGGAAACAGCACTTTGTCGTCTTCGCAGAGAGACAGGGTGCAAGCACTGCAGCGCCAAGTTCATTCCGTTCATTGCCTGGGGCAACAACATATTCATCTTCGGGAAGACGATTGCAGAGTCTAATACGATCTGGATGAAGCTTCGGGAGGCTCTGGCGTCATGTGGTTGGCAGTTGCCTGCTGATCGAATCAAGATGCTGGCCGACAATGCTGAGGGGCCTCGCCCGCTGCGGGGTATCTGGCCAGAGGTTACGATTCTGGAGAGTGATCAGTACCTCAAAATGACAGGTCTGGATGAATGCGCGTGGGCAACTGGATCAGGACACCGTGCAGAGACGTTCACGGCTACTTCGGCGGTGGGAAATATAGAGTCTCTGATGGCATCCAGGTCGAGCTCACGTAGCGCAAGATTTGCACTTAGACACAAGGTTGTGCAGACAACATCGCTCTGGTGTTGTATATTATAGCATCTGAGTCGGAGGCAGGCGCTGGCGCTGAGGGCGGCGCAGATCAAACAGCCTGCGCGGCAGCTCAGATGGCCTCGCTTACACGGTGAGCGTGGTGAGCATTATGCTGCCGCAGTCCGCCGAGAAGTTAAACGTATCAAGAAGAGTCGGGGCACTTCGGATTCATATGTATTGGCATGGAAAAGATTGCACAAGTACGCATGTCATATCGCACGTAAAGCACAGTATCACCAAGAAAGTATCTTAGGACATGTATTCCATTGGAACTCCGAGGCGCATGCAGTTCGGGAACAACGAGAGGGAAAACAACAGTTTTTTCCGCATATTCGAGTGGCAAACCATCCGGGAATATCAGCTCGTCAGGTTTTATCGGATTCGTAAGATCGACTGGATCATCTTGGCCCAGGACCGCACAGAATGGAGGATAAGTGAGGGGGAATGCATTGGGTGGCGTCTAGGGGAATCAGTCTCGCGTGCAGTATTGTAGTCATTGCCTAGACAGCTGGAGAGTCACTCTCGTTTGGCGCTGCCCGCCGCCGCCGCCTCCCCCTCCTCCTCCTCCTCCTCCTCCTCCTCGGGTCGCCTGCGGCCCCGGGGGAAGCCGTGCAGGTGCAGTTCGAAGCAAGGCCTGACTTATCTCTTGAGCCACCATCTTGTTATCTCGGCGGCGGGCCCAGAGGGAGAGCGATAGGGAGCAAGCCTTTAAAACAAAAACGGCAGGGTCCCTCAGAAACCCCGGCGCTTTCGGAGAAATCTTCCGAGCCTTCTCCGAAGACGTGGGCGGCCTCCCAGAGGGCGCGAGGGCTTTGAGAAGCCCCGCCGCCTTCTGAGAAGACCTGCGCTGTTCGAGGAGAAGAAGCGGGGACCGTGACCAAGATGCCGCGGGATTCTGTCGTTAGGATCTTGGTGATAGTCCATGTCGGGCGCTGCCGATTCGCGAGGCTTGTCCACGAAATGGTGCTGACCCAGATAGACGGTGACCAAAATCGGCACGAAGTTTCCGCGCTCAGTCTTGGTCGTGGTCCCCTCTTTGTTCCCATCCACCTGTCTCACTTCCCCCCCGGCTCGATGCCAATTATCCAAGACCGTGGTCTGTTGGGCGAAGAAGAGCAACGGGCGGCGAAGAGGAGCAAACTGGCAGGACGCGGGCTTGCATAGTCGGGTGGAAGGCCGTGGGAATCGCGAGCGCGGCCGACGAATCGTTCGGAGCGAATGGTCGTACATCGTTGTTTTTTGTTGTTGTTGTTGTTGTTGTTGTTGTTGTTGTTGTTGTTGTTGTTGTTGTTGTTGTTGTTGTTGTTGTTGTTGTTGTGATTGTTGTTGTTGTTGTTGTTATTGTTGTTGTTGTTGTTGCTGTTGTTGTAGTTGTGGTTGTAGCTGCTGTTGTTGTTGTTGCTGTGGTTGCTGTTGCTGCTGCTGCTGCTGTTGTTGTTGTTGTTGTTGTTGTTGTTGTTGTTGTTGTGGTTGTTGTTGTTGTTGTTGTTGTTGTTGTTGTTGGGGTTGTCGTTGTCGTCGTTGTTGCCGTTTTTTGTTTACCCCTTACATTTTGTTTGTGTGTGATTTGTTTCCTTTGTTGTAGTCGTGGTTTTAGTTTTTTGCTTTTGCGGTATCGCCTCGATCTGGCCGCAGCTGTTGCAGCGTTCAAGGGTGTGTGTGGCACGTGACAGCCAGTTGCAGGCGAAGAGGTGAGCGAGGTCTTTTGCCAGTGGTTGCATGTTCTGGAGATTGGTCATGGGAAATGCGAAGATCAATCCATGAGGACAGGGAGTCATTTGAAGGCCGTGGCAGTGAATTCTGCAGGTGATTTCGTGGCCGCGCATCTGCGGGTGCAAGCAGCCTGCAGGGCCGCAGCGCTTGTGCAAAACCGCGCGGCTCGTCTGCTGGAAGAGGGCCTCGAACGGGTACCACATGGGGCGCGCGGGAAAGATCGGAATGGAGCGCTGTGCGGATGTGTGGCCGGTGCGGCAGGAGCAGGGAGCACGGAGGTTGAACGGCGGGAATGGAGCGGGGGGCAGTGGGGGAGGGAGATGAGATGTGGGATGTGGGAGCTGGGCAGAGATGGGGAGAGGGGAGGGGGACGGGGAGGTGGACGGGGAGGGGGGAGGGCAACAAGGAAGAGGGGGTGGAAAGGGGGAGGGTGGGGGGGAGCTGCGGCCGCGTGGGGGAGCGCGGATGCAGGGATGCAAGGTACAGAACCACGGGCGAGGCCCTCAAGTTGGGTCTCGCCTCGCAGGCTCGAGAGAAGACTGGAAGGGGGGGCTCGAAGTCTTCTGGCGCCTACCCTCGAAAAGCCTAGCCCCCCAACGTTTTTTTTTTTTTTTTTTTTTTTTTTCCTTCTGTTTTTCCGTTTTTCTCTTTTCTCTTCTCCCATTGCGAGGACCCCCCAGGGTTTCGACCCGTTTTCCGGGACAGGTTTCTCATCCCGAATCGTGGTTCGACGGTCTCAGGATCGGCAAGGGAGGATGATGAGGATGACGAGGATGCTGCTGCTGATGATGCTGCTGACGTTGGTGATGATGGTGATGATGGTGATGGTGGTGATGGGGGTGATGGTGGTGATGATGATGGTGGTAATGATGGTGATGGTGATGGTGATGCTGATAATGACCATGGTAAAGATGGTGATGATGATGATGCTGATGATGATGATGATGCTGATGATGCTGCTGATGATGATGATGATGATGATGATGAGGATGACGACTATGGCAACGGCGAGTCCGATGGCGCTGCTGCCGATGCTGACGATGATGATGCTGCTGCTGACGATGGTGATGATGATGCGTGCGACGAGGGTTATGCTGCTGATGATGAGGATGCCGCTGCTGATGATGATGATGATGATTATGTTGATGATGATTATGCTGATGTCGGTGGTGATGATGTGATGATGCTGCTGATGATGTTCTTTATGCAAACTGAGATGAGGCCCATGATGCTGACGATGTTGATGCTGGTGAGAATGATGATGATGATGATGATGATGATGATGATGATGATGGTGATGATGATGAAACGTATGACAATGCTGCTACTGATGCTGTTGATGCTTCTGCTGATACTGATGACGATTATGATTGGGATGATGCTGATAATGATGACTATGATGATGATGATACGGATGATGATGATGATGATGATGATGATGATGATGATGATGATGATGATGATGATGGTGATGATGATGATGCTGATGATGATGATGATGATGATGATGATGATGATGATGACGATGACGATGATGATTATGATGATGCTGATGCTGATGATGATGCTGCTGACGATGACGATGATGATGTTGATGCTGATGATGGTGATGATGATGCTGGTGTTGATGATGCTGCTGATTATGATGCTGATTATGCTGATGATGACGCTGGTGGTGGTGGTGATGATGATCATGATCATGATGATGATGATGATGATGAAGAAGTGCTCGACGCTGATGACATAGATGTGGATGATGAGGATGCTGCTCTTCCTGATTTTGATTATGATGATGCTTCTGATGATGATACTGATGCTGATGATGATGATGATGATGATGATGATGATGATGATGATGATGGTGATAGTGATGGGGATCGTGGTGACGATGATGACGATGACGACGCTGATGACGATGATGACGATGATGACGACGATCACGACGACGCTGCTGCTGCTGCTGCTGCTGATGATGATGATGATGATGATGATGATTTTGATGATGATGATGATGATGATGATGATGATGATGATGATGATGATGATTATGATGATGATGATGATGATGATGATGACGATGTTGCTGCTGCTGCTGATGATGAAGAATAATACGAGTATGCTGATGATGATGATGATGGTGATGATGGGGATGCTGATGCTGATGATGATGCTGGTGACGGTGATGGTGATGATGATGATGATGAGGAGGAGGAGGAGGAGGTGGAGGAGGAGGAGGGGGATGCTGATGATGATGATGATGATGATGATGATGATGATGGTGGTGGTGGTGATGATGATGATGATGATGAAAATGATAATGATAATGATGATTCTGATGATGGTGATGCTGATGGTGACGATGATGATAATGATGATGCTGATGATGATGGTGATGCTAGTGATGATGATGATGCTGATGCTGCTGCTGATGATGCTGCTGATGAGGATGCTGCTGCTGCTGCTGCTGCTGATCTGATGATGATGATGATGATGATGATGATGATGATGATGATGATGATGATGATGATGATGATGATGATGAGATGATGATGATGATGATGATGATGATGATGATGATGATGATGATGATGATGATGATGATGATGATGATGATGATGATGATGATGATGATGATGTTTGGGCAGACCAGAGGGTGTCAATGAGGATGCGGGGGCTGACGAGAGGGGAGAGGGAGGCGGGAAAGTGTCGGGAGGAGCGAGACGGAGTATGAGCGGGGGGAATGAGACGAGGAGGGGGAGCAGGGGGAGGAGGCTGGGGCAGGGTGGGAGGAAGGAGGAGTGGTGGGGGGGAGGCGGCCTTGGCCGCACGAGTGCCAGAAAAGCGAAGGCCGGCGACGGCGTGCACCAGGAGGCTAGAGCCCCGGGGCTCGCAGCTGAGGGGACGCACACGTACGATCGACCAACGACGACCTATGATGGGGAAGGAGAGGAAGAGCACGCAGGAGGAGGAGGAGGAGGAGGAGGAGAAGAGTAGTGGTGGGAGAAAGAGGAGGGGGAGGAATGGGAGGAGGAGGAAGAGGAGGAGGAGGAGGAGGAGGAGGAGGAGGAGGAAGATATGGGGCCATGGAGTCATCAAAAGGCACTTTTGATATAGAGGAGCTGGGCGCCAGGCCACGGTCGAGCCCCGTGAAGGAGCACGTGTTCCGAAGGCCACCTAGGGGACATGGAGACGCTTCGTCGCTCAGTGACTCGCCGCCCAGCCGAGATGGCATGGTTCTTTTCCTCCTCCTCCTCCTCCTCTTCCTCTCTTTCCTCCTTCTCCTCCTCCTCCTCCTCCTGCTCCTCCCCTCGCACGTGGCCAAGAGAGGGGTGATGGCCATGCCCCAGACATCTCCCCAGATTTCATGGCCTCCCTTAGGGGGACGGTCGGGTCACCTCGAATATACTTTTCCGACCATCAGCCCCTGCCAAATCGACTAGCTTGCGCGATTGGGTTGGCCCCCTAGAGTTAGCGGACACAAGGCCCCAGGGGACTTTCCCCGTGCCTGATGAGCATCGGGAAGCATGGCACCAGCGCCACGTACGCAGCTAAGGCGCCGCATGCTACGGGCAAAGTGCTACGCAGCTGGTTCTAGAACGACGTATGCTGGTTTGTTTCCCCTTTGCTTCTGCGCGGACTGACTGGCAGTGTCCCCGCGTCGTAGGACCGAACACCAGGATACGGTATCCAGCAGAGCAGTAACTGCCCCCCCCCCCCCAACTATGTTGATGGTGGTGATGATCATGATGCTGATGCTGATGCTGATGCTGATGCTGCCGCTGCTGCTGATGATGATGATGCGGGTGATGCTGATGCTGATGCTGATGCTGATGCTGATGATGCTGATAATGCTGATGATGATGCTGATCATTATGATGATGCTGCTGATGATGATGAAGCTGATGATGAGGAACATTATGCTGATGCTGATGATGATGCTGATGATGTAGATGATGCTGATCCTTATGATGCTGATGCTGATGATTATCATGATGATGATCATTATTATGATGATGCTGCTGCTGATGATGATAATGCTGATGATGTTGATGCTGTTGATGACGCTGATGCTGATGCTGATGGTGATGGTGATGGTGATGGTGATGGTGGTGGTGATATGGTGATGTTATGATGATGGTGGTTATGATGCTGCTGATGATGATGCTGCAGCTGCAGCTGCAGCTGCAGCTGCAGCTGCTGCTGCTGCTGACGACGACGACGACGAGGATGATGATGATGATGATGATGATGATGATGATGATGATGATGATGATGATGATGATGATGATGATGATGATGATGATGATGATGATGATGATGATGATGATGATGATGATGATGTGATGATGATGATGATGATGATGATGATGATGATGATGATGATGATGATGATGATGATGATGATGATGATGATGATGATGATGATGATGATGATGATGATGATGATGATGATGATGATGATGATGATGATGATGATGAATGATGATGATGATGATGATGATGATGATGATGATGATGATGATGATGAGGATGAGGATGAGGATGAGGATGAGGGAGGATGAGGATGAGGAGGATGAGGATGAGGATGAGGATGAGGATGAGGTGGAGGAGGAGGAGGAGGGAGGAGGAGGAGGAGGAGGAGGAGGAGGAGGAGGAGGAGGAGGAGGAGGAGGAGGAGGAAGAGGAAGAGGAAGAGGAGGAGGAGGTGGAGGAGGAGGAGGAGGAGGAGGAGAGGAGGAGGAGGAGGAGGAGGAGGGGGAGGAGGAGGAAGAAGCCTGCCCGCTGCAAACTGCTCGAGGGGCGCGCGCGCCGGACCATCAGTGGATACTGATTGGTTGCCCCCGAGGCACGCACCCAGGCCCGGACCCGCCGCTGCCGCTGCTCCTCGGCGGCCGCCGCGTGGGGAGCCGTGGGCGCACCGCGCCGACGGGCCCCCCCGAGGTGGCCCGGGCCGGCCCCGGGCGGGCCCCCGTGGGCAGTCCGGCGGCGGTCTCGGCCACCCTCGTCAACGGCACCGTAACGGGTATTTACTAACGGGTATTTTGAATTTTTGACGAAAGTTGCCACCTTAGAGCCTTTTTCTTGCATTGCAGCTTTGCCCACATCGGGAAGGGCTGGGTTCGCTGGGTCACTGGCCAAAGTACCCGTTAGTGGAGTCCCCGTTTGAGGGGCGCTGACCTCGGGCCGCCCTTCGAGGTTTGAGGCTTGCGGGCGTTTCCTGACGGAAGAAAACGGGGGTGGACAGAACCCCCAACAGG